TAGACTGTTTTGAATGACTAATTCAGAACAATGCGGCTTTATCTCCATTTCTAATATTCAGTTTCATTTTCTCTGTCCTTTACATTGGAGATTTTTCCTTAATCATCAGCGCTGGAAGTCATCCTATCACCATCAGAACTTTAGGGTCTAATTTAGCAAGGCTAGGATATATCCAGAGGGAGCTCAGTGCAACTCCTCTTTTGATACTCTGATGCCTTTTTAAGAACTTTGCATTTGCCCTTTTCTGGGATTGATTTAAGTCCTAAATGCACACATGACATCCAGCGTCCATGGGTTTGGTTTTAGCTTTTGACATTTAATGCTTTTTGCTTGCTTGTGTCAAGTGCCGGGGAAATCAGGAGATTCGGGCAGTTCAAATGAGCGTATTTATTTATTGCATCATAACTGATGACGTGTTTGTCCCCCTCCCTTGAGTTCAGCCTGGTCATCTCCTACAGCCTGTTTTTATTATAAGATTAATACATCATTTATCTTTAACTGGAGGTCATGCAAACCAACCTGAGGATGCTTTGGGTTGGAAATTCATACAAAGAATCATCATGAAAACGTAAGTAAAATTATTTGATGCAACAAACCTCTCTGGCTGCTCTTTCTCCAGCCTGAACAGCACCTTCCATGTAGCCGCTCCATTCTGAAGCTGTTTCAGTACCTGCAAAGAAAATCCTCCCAACTGGCTCACGAAGAATCCTTTGGAAGGAAGTGCAGATCATGAAATGCCAAGGGACACATTCCTCTGATTATAAACAATGGAAAATTATTCGTAACATTAAGTAGCTATGCCCTTTTATTTCTGATCAACTTGAAACTTGCTCCAGGATATTCAAGGCAAAATTAAATGTGGTATTAATTGAATGCAATAAACATGCACATTCCCCCCCCCCCCGGCCCTTGAAGCCTCCATTTGTAACAGGGGAAAGAGTCTCGGTTGGCAGAAATAGAAACTTCTCTTTAATGCAGTGATATGTAGCCGGAATGATGCATTATAATACACTACCACGTTTNGTGGCAACCTCTCAAATACTGGAATATTGCTATCATGTCCCCCGACCCAGTCCTTCTTTTCTCTAGACTAGCCAAACCCAAATCCTACAACAGTTCTTCATATGTTTTAGTTTCCAGGCGTTAATCATCTTAGTTGTTTTCTTTGCACTTTTTCCAAAGTCTCAACATCTTTTCTGTAATCTGACCAAAACTGGATGCAGTATTCCAGGTGTGGTCTTACTAAGACTTTATGAAGCGGTACTAATACTTTATGTGATTTTGATTCTATGCCTCTGTTTATACAACCAAGGATTGTATTAGCTTTTTTGGCTGCTGTTACCCACTGCTGACTCATATTTAAGTGATCATCCACTAGGACTTCAAGCTCCCTCTCTCAGTTTCTGTTTTTGAGGCAGGTTTTGCCTAATCTGTATTTGTACCTTTAGTTTTTCTTGCATAAGGGTAAAACCTTGCTTTTCTCCACATTAAATTTCATTTTGTTGGATAGGGCCCATTGTTCAAGTCTGTCAAGATCTTTTTGGATTCTGAGTTTGTCTTCTGGGGTATTGGCTATTCCTGCCAATTTAGTGTCATCTGCAAATTTGATGAGTTCCCCTTCTATTCACTCATTTAAGTTATTTATGAAGATATTGAAGAGTACTGGGCCTAAGATGGAACCTTGTGGTACCCCAGTGCTTACTTCCCTCTATGTAACAAACATTTCATGTAACAGATCTGGGAGAATCCTGTGCATGAGACTTTGGAAAGCCTCTGTTACTTAGAACATACCATGGGATAGCCCAGGCTCCTTCAGCCTGGCACTCTGCAGATAATTCTTGAAATTCCCAGATTTCAGCCACCTTCTAAAGTTACTGTTACTGCTCAAGCCATTAAAGGGCATAAGGCTATAAAAAGCTAGAATGTTATTTTTATTACATGGTAACAGACAGTACTTGTTCTTTTTTCAGACTGAGAAGTAAACATGGGACCCAAATAAATCCTGACCTTCTGTATCTACGAACAGCATATTAGAACCACCTCACTGAAACTAAGATACTTCTTCCTTACTCCCACCCCCAAGTGAAAAATGAAAATGCAGGTTTCTTGAATTTCTTGAGTCCTGATCTACACTATTTCTTTTTATGAGAAAGACAAAAAGAAAAAATGTGTTATAGTATGGTACTTATTAAATGAAGTCTTTAGTGTGAGCCTGACAAGGCACACTTTTATTAAATATGTTTCAGTATGATGTCTGATTGTAGCATCTGATTACTAGAGTACTTAATTTAAAAATACTAAACAGTGCAATTCCAAGTATGTTCATTCAGAACTAGATCCATTTCAATGAAATTTGCTGTCTATGAAGTCTGCAGCCCCTTTGATGATCAATCTAAGGGCAATACAAGAAGAGTCAAGTAGAAAGAGGACAAATCTACCTTAGACTGAGGTTTGTTATATATGCAAAACACTTTGTTGGTATAAATCTACCTCTAGCAGTATAGCCAAAACTTTTTCTAGAAATAAAATCAACTTCTCTCTTTCTCAAGGACTCCCAGGATCAGACCACTATATTAGTAAATAACTGTTGGAGAAAGGAAAAAGAATAAGTTCACTTTCTGCCACCATCTTTCATTAATTTATATATTAAGAAATCAGCAAGGAACTATTACATCACTTCCCACCCCATATAGGATTGCTTTGTTATCTCATTAATAGCCAACATTTAAACAGTTTTATCACATCTTTCATCAATAAAGTCTGGTACAAAAACAGTACAGCGGTCCTGAACAGAATACCGTAGTTAACTATTTTTTGCTGAGAGCAAAGTGTCAGATATTAAGCTGAAACTCTGTAAATCTTTTCCAGACTTAATTCATAAGCCACAGAGTTGAGAGGTAGAGAAATCTGCTTGTTCTCTCCTTTAAAAAGCTGCTCCTGGTTCTTGAAAGAGTCTCCAATAAAGTCTACTGAAGAAGTGTTAGGGAGGAAAGCTAATGGGAAAAAGAATTTTATCTATCTGAAATTGGATCCTGGAGAGAGTCCTGAAGTCTTGTGCTTTTCTTTGTAATCACAAGAGGCTCACACAATTATGACATAGTAAGAATAATAAACAGACACAGAAACAACAGCAGTAGCACACATACATTATGCTCCTTTGTTTTGGCATTGTATATCAGTAAAAAATATTATACAGCACACTCTTTAGAAATCATGGAACTCTTAGGAAGAATTAATCTTAGGTTAGGAATGTGCAAAATCTCGATTCTCTGAGTCAAAAAGAAAGATACCGTAACTACTTCTGGGCTGCAGCTTATTCTGACTTTTAACTCTTTAAGCAGCAACCCTGATCCTGAAAAAGTCTGAAAAGATCCTGAAAACAGTATAACCAGACTTTGCCACTGTCTCCCACTTTCAGAGGGAGAAAATCAACACTCTTAATTTCCTATTAATTTTTATGGTTAACCAACTCATTTTTAAGAGATTTCTTAGCTCTGCCCCATTTTTCTGCTGCAGAATGAATAACGGGCGTAGGGCCCTTTTCTCCAGTGCATGCTTTTACCACCCACTTGAATATTATCAAAAGAGGAGCCAGCCACAACATGATATTAAGAAATCCTTTCCATCTATTAAAATATATTAACGTCAGGTGGGAAATGAATGGGAAGAAGACAGAGAAAAACATTCTAATACTATAGCTAAACATTTTTCAAAATTACACCTCTTTATGTCTGTCTGTCCTTAAGCAAGATTTAGTTGTGATTATATTTTTAAGAAAAATATTATAATCCTGAAAAAAGGTATTCAAATTTTTAAAAAGCCAAAAAATATCCATTATTTCATACTTAAGATAAAAGAGTATGAAAGATATTTCTTGACATCCTAAAAAGCTAGTGAAACCCTAGACAGCTGTTTCACGGGCCAGGTAGAGGTTCACAAATTCTTCCATTTACTCTACACTGATCCTAAATAATGGGATTACTGATTAAGATATGCAAGTAGTCCTCACTTAACCACCACGACTGATCCTGGAATTTGGTTGTAAGTTGTTGCAATTGTTCAGTGAGTTACCATGCCACCTAATTCAATTTTATGATGTTTTTATGACAGTCTCATAAAGTGAGTCACCGTAGTTGTTAATCAGCAAAAACCCAGAAATCAGCAAAAACATCACAAATTGTGGTTATGTGACCATAGGACACTGCAACTGATCATCAATGATTAGCAAATGCCTGCAATGCAACATTTTGGGGCGTTTGCTTTTTGCTGCCTGTCTAACTCCCTTTAGGACCCAACTTCTGCCATGGCCATTTGCTGCACGTTCATGCTGCCATTTTTTCTTTGGAGCTGAATTTTTTTCTTCAGCTCCTCAAGATAAATAAGGTGCAAAAAGATTGTCTTTGCTTGCTTCCTTCCCTTTCTCTACAGTATTCTTCAGCCTGGCAGTCACTCATCAAGGTAACTAATTTATAGATTTTTATTTACAGTAAATGTAACAAATTAAGTTGTTAAAAGTGATTGAGATTAGAGGGCAGAGACAGAGAGTTTAGTTTCAGCCTCTAATGGTGGGGGAAGAAAGATCAACAAGTCAGTCTCTCCCAGTTTGTTTGTTTTTTGCTTTCTTTATTGAAGAAATGTGGATTCCCAGGGTGGTGGGGGGAAGAAGAGCCAGGAGATGCTGCAGTGTCCTTAGGGTCGGTCATAAGGGTGAATGACCATGGGGGTGCTACAACCGCTATAAGTTTGAAATGGGATTGTATGTAGTTTTGGGTGGGTCTGTCATAACTTCAAGGATAAGTCCTCAGGATAAGTCATATCCTGAGGACTACCTGTAATTGGATTCCAGACAATTACTATATTATTTTTATAGCATCCAAATTGCAGCGCCCTTGAAAACAGATATTGGACTCCATCACAAGATCCAAGAAACTTTGAACTAATAGACCGAATAACAGAGAATTGCAATCAACAGTCTAAACGAGAGATAAATGATTGTGTTAATGTATATAAATTTGCAGACCAAACTGTATCGTTTCCTATTAGCACATCTGTTCTCAGTTTCGCACTAAGAGATCCTTTTTATAGGCAAAGAGCCCAGCTGCAGCCACTGATGTAAAGAAAATAGAGAACCCCATCAATTTCAGTAGTCCAGGAACAGAAGGCAAGTTCCTTTCCCAAAATGTTGTAGTTATTGGCAGGGCTGTCACATCCTGGATGGAAGAACATTCAGAATTAATAGGGGTTCTTTTTGTTCAAGATAAAGTACCAGAAAACAACAACAAAGCACAGCTTTCTTATGTTAAACAATTACAGTTTTATAATATGGTTGGAGTAGGAATGATTAAAGTAGAGTGGTCTACATTTTTCAAGCAGAACGCTAGAGAGAGAGAGGGGGAGAGAGAGAGAGAGAGATGGGGGAGGGAGGGAGAGAGAGAGAACTGAAGACTTGTGAAGACCACTGTAATTAGAAAGATAAATACACAACCCTAAGTAAAGATGGGGAACGAGGATGGAGGGGGGAGGGGGGATCCATTATTAGTCTGTCAACCAGCCCCAATGTGGAGCTTCCCCCATTGGAGCCCCAAGCCAGCTGGCCGGGCCATGTCTTTAAGCTCTTGTGGAAGGTCGGGGGTGGGGGTGGAGCCGACTTCACTCCAGGGGGCAAGATGTTCCAAAATCATATTTATTTACAAAAGCTATTCAGCATGTCACATCAATTGGTGGTTTACAGTATGGGCTATCATGGCTATTGTTAAAGGCATATTGTTGGTGAGATTTAACTTATATCCCTATAATTAACTCACTATACAAGTAGTCCTCGACTTATGACTACAGTTGAGACTGGATCTTCCATCACTAAGTGATGAGGTCATGCTGTAGCTTTGAACAGTTGCTGAACAAATGGTTGTAAATCAAGGACTGCCTGTAGCTCATTTATTAAGTTCAACACAGAGTGAGGACCAAATCATTCCCTTTCCACATGGCCTCTTCTCTAATTCTGGGTATTAATTTCACATTCCATATCAAATAAAACATTGCATACTTACAGGTGATTCTGATTCTGATTTCCATATTTCTCCTGAATATCTTCCCATCGAGTGTAGTACCTAAAAAGAGGTGATTTGAGACTTAAGTAGAAAACAGTCAACCAAAAGCTTTTCCAATGGCTGTTTTAAAAGATAAATGGGACTTGTATAAAAGTGTAATTTCGTTTAAAAAAAAAAAGCAATCAAGACAAGCCAGGCCAGTTTCTTTTGCTCAAATTCTCATCAACAAACATGAGGCTGGATTCCTCATCCACATAGCAAACTATTCATTTTTAAAATAGACTGTTTTGAATGACTAATTCAGAACAATTCGGCTTTATCTCCATTTCTAATATTCAGTTTCATTTTATCTGTCCTTTACATTGGAGATTTTTCCTTAATCATCAGCGCTGGAAGTCATCCTATCACCATCAGAACTTTAGGGTCTAATTTAGCAAGGCTAGGATGTATCCAGAGGGAGCTCAGTGCAACTCCTCTTTTGATACTCTGATGCCTTTTTAAGAACTTTGCATTTGCCCTTTTCTGGGATTGATTTAAGTCCTAAATGCACACATGACATCCAGCGTCCATGAGTTTGGTTTTAGCTTTTGATATTTAATGCTTTTTGCTTGCTTGTGTCAAGTGCCGGGGAAATCAGGAGATTCGGGCAGTTCAAATGAGCGTATTTATTTATTGCATCATAACTGATGACGTGTTTGTCCCCCTCCCTTGAACTCAGCCTGGTCATCTCCTACAGCTTGTTTCTATTATAAGATTAATACATCATTTATCTTTAACTGCAGGTCATGCAAACCAACCTGAGGACGCTTTGGGTTGGAAATCCATACAAAGAATCATCATGAAAACGTAAGTAAAATTATTTGATGCAACAAACCTCTCTGGCTGCTCTTTCTCCAGCCTGAACAGCACCTTCCATGTAGCCGCTCCATTCTGAAGCTGTTTCAGTACCTGCAAAGAAAATCCTCCCAACTGGCTCACGAAGAATCCTTTGGAAGGAAGTGCAGATCATGAAATGCCAAGGGACACAGTCCTCTGATTATAAACAATGGAAAATTATTCGTAACATTAGCACCCTAAATGGCAGTAGCTATGCCCTTTTATTTCTGATCAACTTGAAACTTGCTCCAGGATATTCAAGGCAAAATTAAATGTGGTATTAAGTGAATGCAATAAACATGCACATTCCCCCCCCCCCCCCNCCCTTGAAGCCTCCATTTGTAACAGGGGAAAGAGTCTCGGTTGGCAGAAATAGAAACTTCTCTTTAATGCAGTGATATGTAGCCGGAATGATGCATTATAATACACTACCACGTTTTCCCCTTCCCCACGTCTCCATCCATGTGTCTCCTGAAAAACTGGCCAAAATAAATTCAGCTCTAGCCGTTTCAGTGGGATTGTGATCCAGACAGCTCAAGCCCTATTAGCCTTTTTGTAAAGCTGTGAAGACCTGACCATTTCTTTAGACATTCAGGACAGGAGGCTACCCTAGTTGTTGGTATGTTTTTATGATTGGAAGATGCTCTTTACCTGGGGCACCATGGGTTATTGTTCTAATTGTTGGCTTTAAACCTTTGTACATCACCCAGAGTTATTGCTGTGAAATAGAGGGCCATATAATGAGTGGCCTTTCTCTTCTTTCTCTGCAATAAAACAATATCAAGCCTGTCAAGCTTTTGCTGTTATATAGTCCCTGAATATAATTTGCAGCCAAGTCTAGACTGGTGTGATAACCAGATGAAAGAATGAATTGCAGTCCTAGCTTCAAGAATTCTCTAAGAGATCCATCAATTCCTCGTTCAAGAAGATGTAAATTTGGGCTTTTTTTAATCACAATCCTTTTATATATTGACTGTAATTATTTGACTTCAAAGTACAGCAATGTTGTATATTTACAGTATTTATACAAATGCATTATATTTATAATTATGTTTTTATATTAATATATTTTTCAAATACGTATTAGAATTAGTATTATCCTTTACAGGTAGTCCTTGACTTATATCAGTTCATTTAGTGACTGTTCGAAATTACAATGGCACTGAAGAAAGTGACTTATGACCGTTTTTCACGCTTATGACCACTGAAGCATCCCTATGGTCAGGTGATCAAAATTCCGAAACTTGGCATCTGACTCATATTTATGATGTTTGCAGTGTCCTGGGTCATGTGATCACCTTTTGCGAGCTTCTGACAAGCAAAATCAATGGGGAAGCAAGATTCCCTTAACAACTGTGTTACTAATTAACAACTGCAGTGATTCACTTAACTATGGTAAGAAAGCTCATAAAATGGGGCAAAATTCACTTAACAAATGTTTTGCTTAGCAACAGAAATTTTGGCCTCAACTGTGGTCGTCAGTCAAGGACTATCTGTATTAAATAGCTATAATATAATATTAAATTGGGTTTCTAAAGTGTTAAGGTAAAATTTATTAAATATATGGCCAGAAAATAATCAGATTAAGCTTCATTAAACTTTTAATTATATGTAAATGTAAACAAAATAAAACCATATAGTTTTTGCGCTGGACCCAGTTATTACTTTTGGGATTTTTTTCAAAAGTACGGTATGTGGTTTGAAAGCTATATGTGCCCCTCACCCTGGAGAAAGCTGTGGTCAGTTGTGATAGGAGTATTTTTGTAGCCTGATGGTGCATGCAAACAGCTTTAATATTTTGGAATTGCTCTAAAAAGAACGATATTCAACTTAATTAAATCAGAAAAAGGAAATACAACTCTGATGATAAGGCTAACCTACCATCTAACCACTTCTACAAGGATGAAATAATTTATCCAAGAGTAATTCATAAAAAAGATGCAGTCATCTGATACATATATAAAACGTTTAGAAAAAAAATAAAACATAACAATAGGTATGTACAAACATCCATCAAGCCAATTAATTAAAGTAGTTCATCAAAACTTTTTCTATGAACTCAGGGACCACACATAGGGTGTGTGTGACTGATGTTTTTCAAAGTAATCTATCAATAATGTCAAAGCCCTGCTGAACTCTGAAATTAACTCCAAATCATCTTGCTCAAGAAGGCTATACTTAATTATTCGTAAATTTTTCATGCATGACTTGCTACAACACATACCACTTTATGCAGAAATGATATAAAGCATAATATCCTTCTGTATATATGGGGAGAGGAACAGAAACTTATCATAGCCATAAAAAGCAACTATATTTATGCAATCCAGATCTAGTAGCTTTAATGGGAAGGTAAATAAATGGATATAAAATCACTGAAATGCATCGTTCTTACTGGATCAAGGCATTAAAGACAGTAAAAAAAAATCTATCAGTTTAATATATAATTACTTTTGATTATTACTCAGTTACAATAGCAAACCCATTGTAAACAGAGATTTTTAACTGCAAATTAATATGCATTTTACAGGATGATACATAAATTTCAATAATTCCTAAATATATTTCACAATTACACTCTTGTTGCAGGGATTGTTGTTATTTGTTGCCTATATAGTGTATAGCTACAAAATGCCATCATTATTCTGGTAAAAGTATGTAATTAATACTGCAATCCTTTGCACAATCCTCAGAAATTGTATCTATGGAATAAGCTAAAGAAATTGGTTTGAATTAACAGAACATAAAGTCCTTCATATTCTTCATTAACCCTTTCATCTTAACATCCTTACTTATGATTACCATACCTTCCATACTGGGTCATTATCCCTGGTGGAAAATAAGCTGTATAACATCCTCCAGAATATTGCTCTTCACACCAGTTCTTCTCTTCATAGTGCACTGGCTACAAAATCATCAATAGCAAATAATGAAAGGAGACAAAAATAGATACTTTACAAAATAAATAGAAAACTTTGAATTACCTAATTTCCCATGTCACTTTATCTCCAAGGACTATAAACATATAAATCTATTTTAAAAGATGATAGGAAACAAGGAATAGTATAAAAGTTAAATCATCTTTGTTCCCAGTAATTAGAAATCTGTAATGATAGATACAGAAACATAGCATCTTGTTATGCTTAATACTTTTTTAAATATAATGCACTTCAACATTATGCATTCTCATGACCAAAATCTGTAACATTCCAAGGTGGCTGACTCAAAGGAAGGTACTTAAATGAGTTGGGTGCATTTTCCTTGGTCTCTAATGGACAACTCAGGCAGCCACTGATATTAAAATTTTAAAGTATGTGGAGCTTCCACCTAGGCACTCAGAGGAATATTTTGTTTTCAATGTTAAGGCTTGGATATAAAATAAGATGCATGTCAACTTTCTGAAACCAGACTGGAGAAGTCAAACTACGGTAGCTGTTTTGTCAAGACAAACTCCACCTTGCACAGGAAATCCATTACTGAATATCCATTTGCTTCTTATGCTTACTTTTTCTCACATGTCATTTTTAAAAATGTAATCATCTTTTTTTTCAGAAAAGAAAAAAAATGATCTCAAGAACAGGCTCTACTGAAACTTACTTTTCTTCATATGGAAATTCTTCACAAAACTATATGAAGGAAGCTAAATATTTATTCAATAAAAACTTCATCTGCAAATCCTCTTATATTTTATATATTTATATATTGGATTTATATTTACTTCTTCATTAGCCTTCTTTCCCCATTTCCAGATCTCTTGATGTATGTGAGTGGTACAAGAATAGACTATTAAAATTGTCAACTGTTGAATTACTATTTTTATATTTTGTAAGCTATTAACTTGCAATGTTTAATTCTGAAGTGTATTAAATCTCTCACATTTTGAACCATAAAATAATATCTGAAGCTTCTTTGAATGTACACTTATCAGCTTCCTCATTTACCCAATTTACACAATTGGAGCAGACCCTAGAGATATTTTGACAATAATAAATAATTAAATTTGCCCTCACATTTGGGCTTTTGCTGACCTGGCCTATGACTGAAATCAATCATTATCTTGAAATTTAGCTTCAGCTTGGCTTCTCCAATTCTAAACGTATCTGCTAAGGTTCATGAATTTTCAATGCTACTTAAAAAAAAAACCTGATATATCAGAAATTAAGTTCTTACATGTAAGGCTTCTTGTGTTCCCAGCACCTTTGCATAGAGCTCACAGATCTGTGTTTTCCTGTAAAAGAAACATTAATGAGATATACATTGCCTCTTTGAAATAGCTTTAGTTAGGATTTTAAACATCTTTTAAGATTTGCTAATGATTTGTGTTTGCAAGGATTGAAGCCGTATCATAGAAACTGCCTTCCACGGTCTCTCTCTTTTTTTTTGTCAAAGCCAAGTCTCAGAAATTGAACACATATATAAACAATTTCTGCAATCTGCATGTACTGTAGTTTGTTAACTGGAAGAGAATCACAACTACAAATAGATCCTTGTATTTGCCTGGGACCTGGGACCATTGACAAAAATGTTGCAAATGACCATTCAAAGAGAGAAGTTGAGGCATATGTGTTTCCCTGCCAACAGCTGACCAGTGGGAGTTTCTATGTTCAAAAAGGAGTTGACTAGTGCATCATAGGCTGCCTTTTAGCACAAAGTGGTTCCACAAATGGCTCTTTTTCAACTATTTGCCCAAAAGAAATATTTTGTATCCATGCTTGAAAGTTGTAATCCCTGTTTAGACAGATTTCCCATATACTGTATGATCCTTGAGAGAACAGGGAGGTCTAAACCATGCATATGACCTAAAAGGGAACATGGTTGTTTGTATGGTGCTGTTAATATTATCAATAAATCCTCACTCAGATAATTAACTATGCATCAGACCAAATATTTTTATCCCAGATGAGACAAAATGATCCACATCCTGGTTTTAATTGCTAATCTTTTGAAATCACATGGTATCTTTTGTGTGTGTGTGTGTGTGTGTGTGTGTGTGTGTGTGTGTGTGTGTCAGAGAGAGAGAAAGAGAGAGAGAGATATATTATACCTTCCTTTTTACTAATCAAAAATAGATACATATAAAAAGTAATATTGACACCGCAGAAAAAAATGAAATGATATGAAGATTGTTGCTATATTAGTTTTCAGTGTCAAGCAAGAATTGAGAAAGATATGTAATATTCTATTCTGTGAATAGATACCATGTAGAGATAGAGGAGCTTGATACTATGTATGATTCTATCAAGAGCAGAGATTCCTATAAGGCAGGGGTGTCAAACTTGCAACATCACGTGACGTATCGCGACATATCACGACTTTTTTCCCATTGCCGACAATGGGATGGGCGCGGTTTTGCCATGATGCATCCGGCCCACAGGCCGATAGTTTGACACCCTTGCTATAAGGAATCAATATAATCCACTGGAGAAGGAAATGGTAACCAATTTCAATTTGTCCAGAAAGCCTAATCAACATTTACAATCAAGAGAAAATAGACAAGATACTAGAATATGAGCACCTGAGGTCAGAAGATGGGTGCCAAACTACTAGAGGAGAACAGAAACAAGTATGAATATGACTGTGCTTGTGATGTCGCTGGATTAAAACCAAAACAACAACTATCTGTTGATTTGGCTAGAGAGAAATGGAAACTTTGATGCTGCAAATATATTTGTGTATTGGTACATTGAATAAAGTACATTCAGTCCACCTGAATAAAGTTGTTTTCCCAGCATTATGAAATGTCAGTAGATGGGGAATGGTAAAGATTCTGAGGGTAAAATGTTTGAAATACCAAGTCTCCCACAGAGAAAAAGCCTTAATGTGGAGATCTGGTTTTTTGATTTTCTGTGAAGCTGCCTAGATAGAAAGCTAGAAAGTAAGAAAGGAGTCTCTCCTTGACTTTCCAATGAATGAAAATAAATAGGGAAAAAAAGATTCCCATTTTTTTTGACCTCTAGAAATATAACCCATTAAGATGTATTGTTCAAACCTTTCTTCCTTGGTGAGATTAATCAGTCTTCTACACTTCCGGGCAAGGATGAAACTGAAATTTAAAATAAAAAAATGGAAGAAATAAATGTTATTCCTCTTACCATTTAATCATTTAATAACATGATCAATTTATGTCAGTTAAGTTTTAATATGATTTCCTAAAACACATTTCCAAAATCTTCAGATTCCAATTAATAGCATATTTCCATATTTCAAAATATGAAGAAGTGCTGGATTTTCAATCAAATGCTTTCAAATTGTTACAGAGAGGGAAATATATGTTTTTTTTTCTTCAGTTAGGGGTGAAATCCATAAAACCCACACACAGGCACTATAATACAATTGCTACCTAAAATACGGTAAGGGAGAAGCTGTTATTTGTAACCCACATATAGCACCTATTGTATATACTTTTATCGATGAATACTCATGCTTCAAGTGTACAACTGTTACTGAAGACATAGTTAATTCTCTTTTGGATCCTGCTTTTCACCCTTCATCTCCAATAGCTTTGAAGTAATTCTTACCCAATTATGGCTGGAAAGCTTCCATCGGGTTTGGTGTCATCTAATGCCAACCCAATTGGTGCATCCTCATCTTCAATAATCATGGAACCACAAAAATCTGGGGAAAAAGGAAGATATTAGCATTTCTACTAGGTTTAGTGAATATGATACTCCCTTAAACAAAAGCTGCCAAGTGTTTTATTACAATGGTCATTATGACACTAAGTAAAAGTTGGCATATCTGCAACTCTTTTGAAACAAAACACATGTACTGTAGTAGCACTATGAACTGTTAGGATAATCAGGAGTGGCTACCTCTAGGTAAGATACCACAAAGAACTGTTTCTCCATCATCCTAAAATCTATTCATGTATGGATACTGTGAGTTGAGTTGAACTCAAAATCGTATAGGAAGTATAATGACTTAGACTCAGAATTGTGCAGTGATAAAAAAAAATACTATAGGATTTGTAAGAATGGCTTCAGAACCTCCATCATCACTGATTTTCTAAACATCACATTTCTATTATGTAACTGATTCTTGTTTTTCTGATAAATGGCAATCATAAAGAATTATCACCAGGTGTTTCCTCTCTATAGTGCATCACAGGCATTGTCAAAGAAAAGAAACATAACACCATCTTTAAAACATTCACCAATCCCAAGGAAGTCTGGTTGATATAATTGAAAGTAAAAAAGAAAATAAATGACATGTGTGTTTGTGCATGTGCGTGTGTGTGTGTGTATGTGTGTGTGTATATGTGTGTGTGTGTGGATTTTTTAATTAATATTTCATGTAACTGACTTTGATTCACTGATTTTAATATACTTGGTCTGTTTTCCTATTTTCCTGTTCCTTGCTTGTTTTAAAATATTACATAATTATTACAACCCACTTTTGGTGGCAAATGTTTGTCCTGTCTTTCAAAATCTTGCTGAAGCTAAACGGTGTAAGAACAGAACAATAGTACATTGTGGGACAACTCTATATGTGCCCCCTTGAAATCTGATGCCTATGTAGTACCACAAAAGCATACACAATATTATTTTCAATACATTTGCCTTAGTGATAGATTTCCAAATTTTACACTAGTGAAATATAGCATGAGATAAAGCCATACTGTACATTTGCATGCACAAATCTCTTGAAGATCTTCATAAAAGTAGGAAGTGATACATTAAGTGTAAGCATTGTCCCTGTTTTCTCCTTTGCCCTGCCCATTCAGTTAACATGAAATACCTTTTTTCTTCCAGAATGCATCCTTGTAGTATACTATACACTTGATCACTGAACCCATAGGAATCCGATTAATCATCTGATTCCTCATTGAAGGCAAAGGAGGATTAAAATGAATCTTCAAGCTAAGCACAGGAGGAATGGCACTAATAACATACTGGGCCTGGAAAAGAAATGCAAACAAAATTATTGTTGTTATTACATAACACAATAACACACTTCTGTGGCATGAAAGTCCCAGTTATAGCAGATCAAGAAAACTGAGTCCCACAATAAGACACATTTGGCAGGATTGAATTGGAATCTCTAGCTTGTTAATAAGATCTTGTCTTGTCTTGATCTCACCTGATTGCTTGCTATGCCTACCCAATTCACAAATAGCAACTCTGGGTGGCACACATACAGTTAAGAAACAAAAATTATCTATGTCAAACACAGAAATACACAGTACAGTATAGCATAGCTAAGGCCAACTCCACATATACTAAATTCAAAGCTATTACAGATCAAGATCATTCAACACTCTGACCTAAGGGAAGAACTATTGTTAAGTCTTCAAGATCATATGGAAGGTCAACAGGATTAGGTCCAACCACATCTCATGCAGTATGCTGTTTCAAAGTGCAAGTGCTGCAACAGAGAAGGCAAGCTTCCTAGGTCCTGCTAGGTGACATAAAAGAACCCTGGTGGTGCGGTGGTTAGAATGCAGAGTTGCAGGCAAACTCTGCTCACAGTCTGAAATTTGATCCTGGCATGGCTCGAAGTTGACTCGGTCCTTCCATCCTTCTAAGGTCAGTAAAATGAGGACCCAGATTGTTGGGGGCAATATGCAAATAATGCTTACACTGTAAGTTACCCAGAGAATGCTGTAAAGCACTATGGGGAGGTATATAAATCTAAATGCTATTGCTATAATTCTATAGAAGGGATCTGAAACATAACCACCCTACCAATCCTGTGGTATGGGCAGAGACAGTCAGAAATATGTATTCCCCAAAAAACAAAATTTTGAACTTTTATAGAGGGTAACCAGAACTCTGAATTGCTTACAGAAACTTAAATGGAATCTCTGCATCATGCAAAGTAATGATGTTGCATAAGATATACTATGATGTACTCATAGGCACCAGCACAACTGAATACTGGATGAATTGCAGATTCCAAATGGTCTTCAAGGGCAACTCTATGTACAGCACATTGCAATAGTCTAAAAAAAGAAGTGACCAAGACATAAGTGACTGTGAGTAAGGCCTTCTAATCCAAGAAGAGGAGCAATTGGTGTGCAAGAGGGATTTGGGGAACGCTCTTGGCCAGGGCTGACACTTCTCTTTTAGAAGAACCAAGAGAACCTCCAAATTTCACATCTTCACCCAGAAATAAAGATGGAAAGTCTCCAGAATTGGAAGCTCCTAAAACTCACTCACTCTTACTTGGTTAAAAACTAAAGCCTGACCTTTCTTATTCAGACTTCCTTAGCTTCCAGATACCAGGAAGCAATCTTGATGGTAGCACTTGGTCAGCCCAGGGTGAAGATGTCTAACTGAGTACCATCAACATACTGTTGATATCTAATTTCATGCCACAAAACAGCTTCATGTAGATATTAAATAGTAATGGAGAGAGAGGGTAGAACCCCAAGGAACTCCACAAAACAGGAGCCTAGATGAGATCCCGCTCCCTTATGCTATCAACACCTACTGTAACTGGCTCTGATAGAAGGAGGAGATTCACCACAATATCTCATCTCCCTAACCCTTGAACCCAGTTCAGAAGGATATCATGATCAATAATATCGAATGCTGCTGAGGGAGCAAGGAGTTCTGTCAAAGGTCATCAAAAAGTGTGATCAGTGCTATTTTGGTACTATACCTCAGTCTGAAACTAACAGAAAAGGGCCCAGATAATCTGTTTCCTGAGGGGGGGAGCTGAAGCGGCAAACTGATCACTTCTAAACAACCTTTCCAAAAAGAGAGACACTTGATAAATATTGTCCAGTATTGTTGGATTCAGGAGTGTCTCTTGAAAATGGGATGGGCCACTACGTATCTATGGAGATTCTCAATCATCCAGGTCATGGTTTGTCTCAAGGGTGTTTTTCCAAAAGGCAACTGGATTTTCTTGTTCTTTTTTTTTCTTTGAAAACATTTCGCTTCTCATCCAAGAAGCTTCTTCAATTCTGACTGAAAGGTGGGGAATGGAAAGATTTATATACTTTGCAGTTATCTGGTTGTGTGAGCATTCAGAAGCATTCCTTCCTCATTTTCATTTTTATATTTGCCATTTTTCCAAGACTGATAAATCCATGGTTTATACAAATTGATGTTTTACCCACAAGCGTCTCAAGCCATAACTTCATGTTGCTTAGAATGGTTCTTGTGTGGAATTATGATTTCTAAGGCTGTAGTTTTATTGGTGCAAAGAAACTGGCATTCGTCACAAATAAGCAAAAGCTTTTAAATTCTCATATTGGGACAATGCAGGCTTTTTTTTACTCATAGTAACAAGTTTTTGTGATTGGAATGCACCCAATTATCATTAATAGCTTTGCTTTTATAGAATGTATGTAGTGCTTTCATTTCCTTTTTTCCTTATAAGGACAAAAAACAGGGTGCAGATCTTAAAATTCCAATATTTAAATTACCTCATATCTCTCATGGTCCAATGTTTCTACTATGACGTTTCCACCAGTCTGTTCAACATAGGATACAGGCTTCTCTAATTTAACTCGTTTCCCCAGATATTCCATAATTTTTTCACTAATTTGTCCAGAGCCTCCAATGAACTTCCTCTCCTGGGAAGAGAACAGAAGAAAATGTAAATAAAATCAGATAAAATGGATGGTTTCACATACTTCACACACTTACGTAGGTATGTAACAATTTTGAAAGTAGTAAATTGAATCATTTGGAAAGTATATTGACATTAAGTACTCATCCTTAAAGGGTTGAGGCAGCCATATCTTTTAAAAGAAAACCCGTTTGATCACATGCAGCAAAGCAAAGTGGTGATATATGCACATGCAGGGCTTTTTTTCTCATAGAACGCCAAGAACGGAGTTCCGGCACCTTTTTTGGATGGAACCTTGTAGGGTAGGCAAGGCGGGTTGTATGACGTGTGTGAGTTCCGGCACCTTTTTTTTCTTTTAGAAAAAAAGCACTGTGCACATGCATGCAGTCACAACAAGAAAGCTTTCCAAAGGGCAGTTTCCTCAGCCCTTCAAGGAAGCACATTTTGTGTTCTCTGCCAGTTTGGTGTAGTGAAACTAGGCTAGAAACAAGAAACCCTGAATTCTAGTTCTATCTTAGGCAAAAACTAGCTGGGTGATCTTAGATTAGTCACTTTCTGGAAAAAAAAAAAGACAATGGCAAACGCACTTCTCAAAACGTTGCTAAGAAAACTTGTCTAGGCAATCACCAAGAATAAAGTCTGAGTAAAAGCACATACACACACAAATGCAAATCCATTGAACAGCCATTCTCAGCAAGCCCAGAATAAAGATTTTAAACAAGAAGGTTTCCCCAACTGTGAAGAAACATCAAGAATTAAACTACAGACCTTTAGAATGCGACAGATGTGCTCAATCAATAAGCCACAACTTTTCAATTACTCCCCAGACTCAACAAATCAATTAATTTTTGAAAGAATGGAAACTCATTTAATTACTCAAGGGGCACCAGGAGAACTTTTGTGAGGATTTGCATGGTTTGAGAAATGCCATGAAGGATGCATAGAGTGCAAAGAAATTAACAGTATACTCCACCTGGCCTCCGTTGGTTGTTGAAAATATTCTGGTTGTACCTCCACACTGTTTAACATACCACAAGAACCAGAGAGCGGAAACCTCATGTGGCTCAGAGGTAACATCAACATTCACAAACAGAGTACCAATCCTCTTGGCAGCACTACATTCAAAACCAACACAAATAAATAATATTAAAATCATATGACACTATACAAGTCCTGCTAGTAGACAAAAAACAACAATGTGTCTCTAAATCATTTTCCTTGGTTGAAGGAAACCAATACTGCTTATCTTTCAACCAACAGATTGACTTATTTTTATTATTGTTTTTTTATTTAAAAATTGCAAACAATCACAGCCAAGCCAGACCTACAATTAGATGGACTGGAATTTAAGTCCATGCTGGCATATCTGAAAAAGGAGCAGTTTTGCTGGAAAACAGGAGGCCTGTTGCAGAATAAGCAGACATGAAGAAAGGAATAGAGATGAAAAACTGGGAACTAAAAGTACAGATAGAAAACCAAGCCACAGATATCTATAGAGATTCTCAATCATGCAGGTCATGGTTGTCCCAAAGCTAGGATCAAGCTATCCTATCTGTGTGTCCCATAAGAGCCAGGTAATGATTTCCCACTTCTATGAGTGAAGGGGAGCTGGGGCAGATAATGCAGGTTCTTGCTGGTGGTTCCTACTTTGTGTAACAACCAGGTTAGATTGGCACCCATCAGTTCACATTCGGTCAAAACGTCATTTTTCTGGAGAATGTTTGAGGAATAACTAGGATAACCAGCCTATTCTGTAAAGTTTAATTTTTCAGAGAATTTTATTGTTTTATATATTCATATTCTTAATGTTTACCTTATTGATAAATATCAGGATTCCTTAAGGAATATGGCATGAATTATCATAAATAAATAATTGCAGAGGATTTTTTTTACTGTGATGGTTATTTTAGCATTTATCCTGCAATATTCCTTTAAATATTACATTTAGGAGTCAATCTGCTTTCAAGCAAATGAATAAATAATGTATTCATTAAATAAATAAAGTCTAATTATAGTTTGAAATCTTATAATCATATGTAACCAGAGAGTTTTGAATGTAAGAAATACCTGCAAGCAAAAGGAAAACTGTGGACATTTTTCCTTTTTTTTTCATTTTTCCAGATAACATTTCTTACTCATTTTTAGTAATAAAACATTCAGAGCTTAAAGATGGAGCTGGACTCTGGCGAGACCTGACATTTGGATATGTTTTAAATTTATGCTTCTGATATTAGAGTAATATTTCTACATGTCAAACATTGGAGGAGAGGGTGGAAAGACTCATAATTTTAGGCAATACTGAGGATTTAGGTTTTGACAGTCATATAATTCATATATTGTTTACCCCTTTCCTTGGTGCTTTATCATGCCAACAAATAAATAATGCATGCAGTTATAAGAGGTACTTATTATCCTTGCTATTTGAACATAAAGAAACCAATGTAACATTTGTCTGGCTGGCATAGATAGTCGTGCTTAGCTTACAGACAGTACAAGTTGAAAGCAGTGGATTGGCACCAAAAAAATTGCCTTATTTGCATTTTGATATGTGTATGTTACTTTTCTGACAGTAATAGGTAATTAAAAATACCTCCACGATTGCTTTCACAAAAGACATTTGCACGTCAAACTGTATTCACTCTTCAATCCCACACACAGCAATTTGAAGCCAAGAAATCAGGCAGAAAACATCAAAACAAATTGAAACCAAAATAAAAATGCAAAAATAAAATAAGTATGCTATCCCAAATTACTGCAGGTTCTAGAGCAGCAAATTCCCTCCCCATCTCATGCATAAGGGATATTAAATATTGTTCTGTTTCAAGCAAAAGGGGGTACTATTGCTTGATATAGGCAGATAAACTCCAAGGAAAGGGTTTCATGCAGATTACTTTAATTCAGGGGTGTCAAACTCAATTTCATTGAGGGCCGCATCAGCATTGCGGTTACCCTCAGTGGGCCGGGTGGGTGTGGCCAGGGTGGGTGCGGCCTACTGGGTGGGCGTGGATGGAGTGGGTGTAGCCTACTGGGTGGGCGTGGCCAGCTCTACATCATTCGTGTCAAGGGTGCCTGTGGGGACCTGGGCAGGAGTGGGATAGATCTGAGGGTCTCTGGCAGAAGGGGGTGGGACCAGGGCAAGTGCCGAGGCATGGTCCACTGGAGGAACCTCATTGTTCCTCTCAGGCCATGCAGGAGGGGGGGACTTATGGAGCTAAGACTGAATGCGTTTCAGCATAGATGGCCACCACAAAATTGTACATTGGCTCCCGGCTGGCTTGGGCCAGGGCAGAGGGGGCCGTTCCCTCACTGTTTCCAGGATGGCTTCATGGGCCACATGAATCCACTTCGCGGGCTGCATCCGGCCCGCAGGCCTTGTGTTTGACATGTCTGCTTTAATTCATCAGGCATTCTCTAAACATTAACTCAGTTACTGGAGAGATTCTTCTGAAGCACATTTCATAATCTGAACCCAACACGTAGGTGAAAAGAAGTAGTATCTCCCATGTTAAAGGAGCAAACAGCTCCCGTGGCTGGAATTCATAAAACCCTGCTGGCCTGCACGTAGCTAGTAATCCCCGGCAGCCAATCAGAAGTCCCTCCTAGTGGCCAATCTGAAACACAGATATGACCAGGTAACTTAAAACTACATTACCCAAAAGGCTATCCCTTAAGGGGACAGTTCTTAATTCCTAAAATAGCTATTTACTCTGACCAGCACAAATATATTTCCAGTATTCACTCCCTACCAGAGATTTCTAAAACATCCTGGCTGCATTTGCATGAGCCATTTGCACACATTAAAAAGCAAAATGGTTGAAGAAACCACCAAGCTACCATTTGCCCTTTGCATTTAAAAACTTATTTGTAGCTATGATGGTGAAACTGTAACATGTCAGCATGTGCCTTTTCAGAGTGAGGGAGATACAGATCAAACAATGCCCACATAAAAGCATCAGGAAAAGTATTTTGAATATTGCCTCCCTGTCGGGAGTGAGAACAAAAGAGGGCGAGTGTCCTGGAACAACAGCAATCCCATCACCTGCCCACCCCCTTAACCATAAGGCAGTTGCTAGAGGAGAAAGAAACCTCAAGACAGCCCCACCATTTATATGGAAGATGGTGCACTGCCAAGGATCAAGTCACCTTCCCTTTATGAAAGCAGCAACTGTGAAAACAGCCTAGATCAATCATAGCTTCTATTTTAAACTCATCACAATATAGTCTTCACAAGTCTCTCTCTCTCTCTCTCTCTCTCTCTCTCTCTCTCTGTGTGTGTGTGTGTATGTGTGTGTGTGTGTGTGTGTGTGTGTGTGTGAGAGAGAGAGAGAGAGAGAGAGAGAGAGAGAGAGAGCATGTGTGCATGTGTGTGTTTGTGTGTTGTGTAGTATAGGAACAGGGAAGGAGCAGGAATGAAGCAAGAACCTGTGCAAAAACACACTTTCCTTTTGGGATCACTTACCATATGAGCCAGACTCAAATCAGCTCAGCTGCAAAATGTAGACAACAGAGTCCAATTCTGTGGACCAGCTCTTATGTGCACATGTTTATTATAGATTCAGTGCATTCTGGGCTCATGTGACAGCTTAGTTCCTCCCTTAGGATTCAACTGTTGGATGGCTCAATTTTGAACATATCTTGACCCTTGAATAACTAAGGGAACTCTACAATTTACTGGACATCAACTAATCTCCATAATTTTAACAATTATTTTTCATGCTAAAACTCACCAAATTTACCTAATATATACCCCCCCCCCAATTCATGCATTTTCAACCATTAAAGACATGCAATACTAGCAAATGCAAGTTTGCTCCATTGGCTAGAAGAATTGAAAATTTAAAAAAATGGAGATTACCCTTCTGCTCCATTGTATCCTAAGGAGAAGCCATTAAAAAAAAACCACACACACAAAAACACAACAACATACATTCTGATCACAAAGGCATATAAGAAATAAAAAAGCACACTAAACACACAACTGTGGCTGATTTTAAAGGAAGAAAAAGAAGGTGCTCTAGTCTGCTGAAATTCTGCAAAGATTTCATTTGAAACCCATTTTCACACATTTTATCTAGAACTAAAAGCTAAGCTAGAGGAACACATAGCATTACAGATGATTATAATGGTATATTATGGGTATTCTTGTCATGTTTTCCTATATGACCTCCATCTAGTTTTGTCAGATTCCTAAGTTTGAAATTGGTGTGGGTCATACAACATGCTAAGTCACAATATCCTTTATTTAGTTGTGGCTTAACAAGTTATATGAAGTGGACAATAGGCCCGGTAAATGATGATTTATGGCTTAATGCATAATATAAGCTTAGCTGCATATGGTTTTTCAGTAAACCATGTTGAAATAAATAAGACATAGCATTTCATTGGATAGTGGTACAACTGGCTTTCCCAATGACTGGAAAAATCTATTATATTAATGAGCCACATGCTCTAGTTATATTTTCCAAGTTGAATTGCTACTCTGGGGATTTCTCTTGCTCTTCTTTCAGAAGCCAGTGTTCAAAGCAAACATGTGCAAGCTGCGCTTCGTCATTTTGAAAAGAAATAAGAGATGTTAGTGGCATGGCGATGACACAGAGTGAGTTGGACCTGGCTGGGAAAGTTTTCTATTTGAGATGATGGTAGTGTGTGTCTTTCTTAAAAAAAAAAAACAAACCCCATGTTAAACTTATTTTAAGTTATGCAAAAGTTATATGTGCTTTCTGCATCAGATAGTGGAGGACAGAATGGGATTTCAGATTCCCTCCTTAATTTAGAAGACGGAACAAAGCTATGCCACTATCTTAGGAATACTCACTATAAACAGAAGTATTTAATGCTACAAAGAACAAGTGTCAATGTTAAGATTGATTTATTGGATCCAGTTTTGATTAATGCAGTGCATTTGATGTAGAATAGAAAGTCTGACCATCCAAACAATTGGACTGGGCAAAAGGAAGTCAAAGAGATAGTGGCTTTCATAAATTTGAGACTTCAGTTTTATCACACTCAATATGGCTAAGGGCATGGAATTGTGAGTGCCATAGTCCAAAATATTTGAAAGCACCACTTCCCCTTCTTGGTCCATGCTATCTAAAGCATTAGCATCCTTTTTTTCCAGGATCCAATGCAAACATCTGCTAATTACTTTTAGAAATGGTCTCCTGTCAAGGGCCACATTTCCTGGATGTTATTTAGTGGAAATCATACTATTAGGTGAGGCCAGAGTATTAACATCCTTACAAATCTGTTTTTTCTCTTGTAATATTTAAGGCATAGTTAAGGCACTTAAAACAACTTTAACATTAAGTGGTTTACATGGGACAGAGGTTTTTCTCAATGGAGTTGTGGATTTCATTTCCTTTTGAGACAAAGAATGGTTTATTTCATAAGATAGAACAATGACTTTCTTTACAGAGGCATCAGGAGTTCTTTAATTGACTCTTTTTGTGCTTTTACCAGTGGCCTGTTCTTACTATCTTTATTTATTTCCCATCATTCTGAGACTTCTTTCGATTTGTTCCCCCAAACAGCTAATATTGCTATTGTTATTTTGTTTTGTTTTATGCTATCTAGCACAATACATGCTTTAATAAATATAAAGAAAAACATTGTGTTCTGATTATTCTGTAAAGCACTAGCAGGAATTTATAACAATGTAAGCCTTTCCATGCCAATCTGAGACAGGTTTTACGGAGTCAATAGTAATTACTTTTAAATAAGCAACTATAATTTGCTGCTAATGCAGATCTTTTTATTTTAGCATTGCTACTGTATATGAAACCCCACCTTGCTGTCGGAGGCTATTGTCAAGAGCCTTTCCAGAGCTTAATCTGGGCAAAGCTTGATGATGATACCCAAAGAAACTACTTTAGAAAATGAGATTTATGCAGATTTTGGGTTCAAAATGATCTTATGAAGAAAAATAGTCACCTGGCTTAAATATCAGAAGCATTATGTATGTATGCATGTATATATGTATGTATGCATGTATGTATGCATGTATGTATGCATGTATAAAACTCTCTGTATTTTACAGATCTATACACCTAAACTTTAATGTGCAAATTATGTCATCAGACCATTTAATTGTGAAATAAAATTGACCAGGGACCATTTTCTATGGTGGATAGCATTCTTTCTACCTAAAATTCTTTCTATCTTTCAAAATGGAATACTTGTTTTAGATGCTATTATCTTCCATTGTACAGAAATTATACATATATATATAATTTATTTATATATATAAACTACTTCTCACTTTGTCCAGCACACTTTATCTAGCAACTGTTCCATGGTAATTTTGTCCCATTCCTCTGCATGTGGTGCTTTCCATGGAGCTTCAGTAGGAATCTAGGAAAGGAAAGGACACATGTGTAAAGAAAAAACACAACACAGAGATGATCATGCAACAGATTCAAAATCAACCAATCTTTTTATTAGCTCCCAATGCTTTTTCCCTAGTCTGCAACAAAGGAATGATTGCTCTTCGAAATTAAAAACTTTCTTGAATTGGTTTAAATTGGCCAGCTTTTATAACAATTCTGTCACTTATGTTACCAGGTTTTAGTGGAGGAAACTATTTTATTCTGAGTTGTTACAGTAGATGAACTGCATGAATGAATATTTTGCAGGGTTTTTTTAAACCACCAAATGTTTGTTGACCAAAGAACACTTTTTGACCATGCAGCCAGTTTCACAGAATTGCTGTTGTGAGGATAAAACAAAGGGAAATTCTAACATAAATCACAAATATTTTAAATCTAATTAATTAAATTTAACTAGTAAACGAAATAA